GGGTGAGTCAGTAGTGGTTGGTCTAGAGTTAAATCTTTAGACTACTGAGATGGTGAGATAGATTCAGGAAAGGTTGAGGGCTACCCAGAGTTGATGAAAGTCCTATGCTGATAGGAGGAGGAGACCTCTAGAATTTGAAGAAGGAGAGCATGTGTTTCACGTTTCACAGTTGAGGAACTACATCAGAGACCCGAGTCATGTTGTAGAGTTGGATGAGGTGCAAGTTAGAGAAAACATGACCTATGATAAGAGACCGATAGCTGTGGTTGATCACAAGTTGAAGGAGCTTCGTGGCAAGTCCATTAGCTTGGTTAAGATTCTTTGGGATGCAACTACTGGTGAGGCAACCTGGGAAGTAGAGAGTCAGTTCAAGGAACAACATCCATTCCTCGTTTCAGGTTAGCCTATTTTCGAGGACGAAAATTCCTATTTGTTGGAAGGTATTGTATCGTAAAAAAAAAATGATTCAGTAGCCAGAACGGGCCATTCCAAACTACTGAATTGGCCTTAAAAAAATGAAGGAGAACGGGCCGTTCCAGATGAGTCCCAAAATGGGCTGTTCTGATTTCAGAACGGGCCGTTCTACATGTGATTTTTGTGCGTATTGGGGGAGTGTATAACGGGCCATTCCGAATTTGGTACAGGCCGTTCTGGCCACTCCGGAATGTCTATAAAGAGGGGTTAAGGACTTGAGGCCTAGCAATTTGATCAAACTGAGGCCTCACCAAACTAAAAGAATTCAAACATTCTTTTACTACCACCACAACTCACCAACACTAACACATATCAGAGATATGAGACAACAGAAACCTAGAAAGATCACTCCTCACAGAGTATCCCAAAAGACTCGACCGGCTCTGATACCATAAAACTGTAACGACCCGCCATGGTCTCTACACTTAGTGGAATCGCACTACTGCTAGCTTCATGTCTTCTTTTCTTGATTAGCTTGTCCTTTGTTATTAGTTTGTGTCCTTTGTTATCATCAAAACTCTCAGAACTTCAGAGTTGAGTTTGATTCATCATCCATGAATCTCAACAATTTCCCCCTTTTTGATGAACCAATATGTTTTTCTAACCAATATGTTTTGCTCAAGTTAAATGACAATATGAGTAGCTTGTTAGCTTGTTCATGCCTTGTTAGTAGACAAACTTGCAAAACAAATTCAAAACATTTATCCCCCTTTGGACATAAAAAACATACAATAGAACTTATAAAAGTAATATGCCCAAGTGTATAGAAATATCATTGTAGATTCCATATGTATATATGCACAAAAATGTTTGTCCAACATTCATACGAAAAATAAGAATACACAATACATATGTGTCTAACATTTTATACACAAATAATTCCAAGAAATAAGTCACACATGTTCTTATGAGCACTATTTCATATGCACTAGGAAACATTAATAAATATACATCAAGTGCATCACAAATGTATACCAATGCTCAAATTATGATAAGTCAATATCAAAACACAACCAAATTTAAATTATACCAGAATTAAATTGTTCAACACTTAAGACTATTACAACCAAATTGAAAATTTAAAACAAAACACAATTGTTCAGAAATTAAAATCATTACAACCAAATTGAAATACTAAAAAACTTGGAATTTTAAAAACCACTAAATTGAAACTAAACTCCTACAACAAAACATGAAGCTCCTAAAAACATAGCACCAACCAAGCACATCACTCTGGATCCTCTTGAATTCCCAACTGAGTCTTAATCCTTGCAATCTTATGATCAAGGTTGTCAAACTGATCAAGAATGCTAGAATATTGAGACTCATACTTCCTTGTCATCTCTATGATAAAATCAAGCTTGTTTATCATTATTTGCTCAAAAGGAGAAAATTCCTTGGGATCCGATTGGTGCTCTTGTTCCGGTTCTTACTCCACTTGTGGTGGCTGATCCTCATCATGAGATGGAACACCACGGATTGTATTTTATGCATGAGTAGTATTGGATAGAGTGTATGGTGTGACTCTATGAATATGATTGATAGTTGGATAATTGTGTAGTATAGATTATTGTTCTATACTTGTATGATTGATTTTTGAACTCTAGCTTACCCTTCTATTTCCATGTGGATGGACTGCAATGATCATACCTTGTATGGGAGCAGGTTAGGGCTAGCTTGGAGTTGGGGTGACCGCTGCGAGACGGGGAGTTTGATCCTCGTGTTAGAGTGTGGTGTTTGACTTCATGATTGGTGAATTGTATTTTATGTACGAGTAGTATTTTACAGAGTGTATGGTGTGACTCTATGAATATGATTGATGGTTGGATGATTGTGTAGTATAGATTATTGTTCTATACTTGCATGAATGATTTGTGAATTCTAGCTTACCCTTCTATTTCCATATGGTGGAACTGCGATGATCATACTTTGTATGGGAACAGGTAAGGGGTAGCTTGGAGTTGAGGTGACCACTGCGAGACGGGAAGTTTGATCCTCGTGTTAGGGTTACCATTTCAGGTAACGGTTTTGTCTGTGCTTGACCCACACTAGGGAATATTATTTTTGGGATGACTGTACATATATGGCATTTTATTTTGTATTTAAGAAATTTAGTTATTTTTATTCTTATCTATACCCGTATGTATGAGTTATCCAACTTAATATTTTCTTAGTTCACTAGTAGTAGTGTGATTCCACTAAGTGTAGAGACCATGGAGGGTCGTTACAAAACCCAGTCGTGGCTCTTCACCATCTGACCATAGCCCTGAAGCTGGGACCGTTCGCTAATAACATCTGCAAGAAACCCCGTCTGACATGGACGACCTGTAACGTCGCACCGATAAAAACATGCAGATGAAAGAACTTGCTGAATTTCGCAACCAGGCAAGAGCGGAGGTAGCGATCAAGGTAGAGAAGCCGGCCGAGAACTTTTACCGAAGTCGCCCCAAGGATCTCGTCCCCCGAGAAAAACCTGCTCGCGGGCCGAGATACTCCCATTACACTCCGTTGAATACTAGCCGATCGGCCGTTCTGGATCAGGCACTTGCGTCGGAAGTCCTGGCAGTGCCGAAGCGAGCCTCGACTCCCCCATGCACCGACACAACCAAATCCTGCAAGTATCACCGAAACCGGGGCCACTCAACCGAGGAGTGCACAGCCTTAAAAGACAAAATTGAGGACTTGATCAAACAAGGGTAGCTCCAACGCTTTGTCGATCGGCCTCAATCTCCCCGATACGACGATCGTCCACATCGGCGGAATCAGCCTGACAGAGAAAAGTCCGATAGGCGTCCCTACAGGGAACGAAGCCGATCAAGGGGCCGAAAGGAGGAGGAGCCGACAACCCAGTCCCGAAGGGTCATTAATACCATTGCCGGTGGATTCGCAAGCGTAGGCTCCGCCTCCTCAGCCCAAAAAAGACACCTACGAGCCTTCTGAATAGTACACGCAGTTGAACACGCTCAACAAAGGTTACTAGCCATCATGTTTACTGAAGCTGACTTTAAAGGCATTGATCCGGATCAAGATGATCCCATGGTTATCAACGTCAAAATCCATAATTGCATTATTCTGAAGACATTTGTTGATCAAGGAAGCTCAGCCGACATCCTCTATTGGAACACGTTCAAACAACTCGACATCCCGGAGGCCGAATTGATTCCATACAATGAGCCCCTAGTCGGGTTCTCTGGTGAGCGTGTCCAAACCAAGGGGTATATCAAGTTATCCACACGATTCTGTTTTGATGGGGCCGAAACCCGAGACATCCCCGTCAAATACGTGGTCGTACACGCCAACACATCGTACAACATTCTCCTTTGAAGGCCATCCCTGAACGGTGCAACTGTGTCAACTCCACACTTAGCAATGAAATTTCCAGCGGAGTTAGGCCGAATCATCACTATCCATGCCAATCAGAAAGCGGTCAGGGAATGTTATTTCGCCAGTCTTTGGTTACCACGTCTTGAAGCGATCGAGCCGCGCGGAGTGAAGCGCGTACATACGATAGCCCAAGAAATTAGCCACACAGTCGTGGATCTTGACCCTCGCATGGAGCACGACGAAAGGGTCGAGCCGACCAAAGATAAGCAACCGTTCATCATTGGGCCGACAGATTCCCATGTAACATACCTGGGATCTAATTTATCTAAACAAGCTAGGTGCCAGATACAACGAGTAGTCAGAAAAAACAAAGACCTCTTCGCTTGGCAGCCGGCAGACATGCCAGGAATTGATCGAGACTTCTTGTGTCACAAGCTCTCGGTTTGCCGAGAGGATAAACCAATGGCCCAACGAAAGAGGAAAACGGGGGAAGAGAGAAAGAAAACAATAGAGGACGAGGTCTCTAAGCTTCTAGATGCGGGGTTTATCCGAGAAGTCCATGACACTACATGACTGGCCAATGTGGTGATGGTCAAGAAGTCGAACGGCAAGTGGCGGATGTGCACAGACTACACTGACTTGAACAAGGCATGCCCGAAAGACGCTTATCCTTTGCCAAACATCGACCGACTCGTCGACGGTGCGACCGGCCACAATTTCCTGTCATTCCTCGATGCATATTCCGGATATAACCAAATCCGAATGCACCCCTAAGACGAGGACAAGACGGTATTCGTCACCGAGTTAGCCAACTATTGTTACCAAGTGATGCCGTTCGGATTAAAAAATGATGGAGCTACCTATTAGAGACTCATGGATAAGATCTTCCATAGACAAATAGGCAAAAACATGGAGGTATATGTAGATGACATGGTTGTCAAGTCGGCTGATCTTCCTTCCCATGAAACCGACTTGGCCGATGTCTTCCAAGCACTGCGAAAACATCATATGTGCCTTAATCCAGACAATTGTGTATTCAGCGTCGCGGGCTACAAATTCCTTGGTTTCATGTTATCAAGCCGAGGTATTGAAGCAAACCTAGACAAGTGCCAAGCCATCATAGACATGAGAAGCCCAACAAACCTAAAAGAGGTACAAAATTGGCAGGCTGATTGACATCTTTGTCGCGATTCCTACCATGTATGACCGAAACCTCCAAGCCGATAGTAGCCCTCCTGAAAAAAGCGAATCGGTTTCAATGGACAGATGAATGTGAAGTCTCTTTCCAACTATTCAAGCAAAGACTCGGCACCCCGCTCGTGTTGGCCAAGCTGATCCCCGGCCGAGAAGTAATTCTGTACTTGGCGGTTTCCGGTGAAGCCATCAGTGTCGTCATGGTACAGGAAGAAGACGGCAAGCAACGACCCATATACTTCATTATCCGGGTGCTGCAAGACACCGAACACCGATACCAACTCTTAGAAAAGGTAGCCTTGGGACTCATATACGCGGCTCAGCGCCTTCGACAATATTTACAGAGCCACACAGTGGTTGTCCAAACTGATTGCCCAATTGCCAAAGTGCTAAGAAAGCCTGAATTGGCCGGCCGAATGATGGCATGGTCAATCGAATTGTCTGAGTTCGATATTCGTTTCGAACCTCGAGGTACCATTAAATCACAATGCTTGGCCAATTTCCTGAATGAACTATCCCCACCTGGGCAATTTGAAGACGGCACCTGGACCATGCGCGTGGATGGATCCTCCAACTGCCAAGGCAGCGGTGTCGGTATCATCTTAGAGAGCCCGTCTGGTATTACCCTGGAACAATCTTTGCATTTCGGCTTCAAGGCATCCAACAACCAAGCCGAATACGAAGCTTTGTTAGCTAGAATGAGATTGGCAGCCGAGATGGGCGTCAGAAAGATCATATGCTGGACCGATTCAAAGGTTGTGACAAAACAAGTGATCAACAACTTTCAAGTCAAAGACCCCAATCTGCTCAAATATTATCATCTTTTCTGGGGAATGAGCAATCAGTTCACGAAAATCCAAGTCAAACACACGCTGCACGGGAATAATGAGAGAGCCGACCAGTTGGTATGGCTAGCAAGTAGTCGCAAGCCGGGACAGCTCCGATCAACCATACACTTGGAGTTGTCCACCCCAAGTGTCACACAGGCATGCATACCGATAGACGAAGTCCCGAAGTCATGGATGACCGAACTCATGAATTTCATTGTCAGTGGAACAGAACTGCTCAAGCCGAGTGAAGCCAAGAAGCTACGCACACAAGCAGCGCGGTACTCGGTTATCTCAGGAGAGCTTTACAGGAGAGGCTTCTCCACCCCTTTGCTAAAATGCATCGACCCACAACAAGCCGAATACATCATGCGAGAAATTCATGAAGGGATCTGTGGCTCCCATTCCGGGGGTAGAATGTTGGCAACAAAAGTCTTAAGAGCCGGTTATTATTGGCCGACCTTGAAAATAGATTGTCCCAAGTACGTGAAGAAGTGCATACAATGTCAACAACACGGCCATCTTATACACGCCTGAGCTGCGAAACTCCACACTATCAGTTCTCCTTGGCTTTTTGCCTTATGGGGGATCGATATACTCGGCCCATTCCCTCTTGCCAAGGGACAATGCAAATTCCTAATAATAGCTGTGGACTATTTTACTAAGTGGATAGAGGCCGAGCCGCTTGCCACTATCACTGCCGTTGATGTTCAGAAGTTCGTATGGAAAAACATCATCACTCGGTTCAGCCTTCCACACACAATTATCTCGGACAACGGACTTCAATTTACAGATAAAAAGTTTAACACTTTCCTCGAGAACCTCAGCATTCGGCACTGATTCACGTTGGTGGAACACCCGCAGTCCAACGGACAGGCCGAAGCAGCCAACAAAGTCATCCTTACCGAACTGAAGAAACGGATCGGCACAGCCAAAGGAGCCTGGGCCGAAGAGCTCCCTGGAGTCCTCTGGGCGTATAGATGCACGCCCTAATCAAGCACAAAAGAGACCCCATTCCGATTGGCATACGACAAGGATTCCATGATACAGGTCGAAGTGGGCGAACCTTCATTCCGACGGATGCACTTTCACAAAGAGTCCAACGACGGCACAATCCGAGCCGAACTGGACATCTTAGATGAAGTCCAAGAGAAAGCACAAATCGTAGCCGAAGCGTGTAAACAGAGAATGACTCGGTGATTTAACTCCAAGTTGAAGCCGAGAAACTTCCAAGAAGGTGATCTTGTTTGGAAGGCAACCGGTTCGGCACGGCGCAACTCAAATGAAGGGAAGTTGGCGGCAAACTAGGACGGCCCATTCCGAGTCCGACACGCTCTCAATAACGACGCGTACAAATTAGAAGAATTGTCAGGCAAGGTCATCCCTCGGACATGGAATTCTACCCATCTGAAGACTTATTATAGTCGGCATTCAGCACCTGTTCACGTCTATAGAACACCCGCAGTCCAACGGTCAGACCGAAGCAACTAACAAAGTTGTCCTCACCGAGTTGAAGAAACGACTCAGCACGGCCAAAGGAACCTAGGCCGAAGAGCTCCCTGAAGTCCTATGGGCGTATAGATGCACGCCCCAATCAAGCACAAAAGAGACCCCCTTTTGATTGGCATTGTAGACACCCAATTTCGTTCGGGGGCATACAAACAAGGACATGGACCTTTGTTACGAAGGGAAGGAGCTCCCGAAGCATGCCAACAAGAAGATAGGACTTCAGGGGGCCCAAAAGCACAAATTTAATATTTTTATTGGCCTGGAACGGGCCGTTCCAAGGTCCAGAACGGGCCATTCCGAGGCTCCCAAAAGGCTTAAAACCCTAATTTGGAACGGGCTGTTCTGAAATTGGAACGGGTCGTTCCAAGATTGGAACGGGCCGTTCCAAGATTGGAACAGGCCGTTCCAAACCCCTCAAAAAAGGGCTAAAAGCCTAACTGGAACGGGGCTGGAACAGGCCCGTTCCTAAATCTGGGACGGGCCGTTCCAAGGCTGTTCTAGACCAATAAAGGGGGCTTAATTTTGGTACCCAGAATGGGCCGTTCTGAAACCAGAACAGGCCGTTCTAGTTCCCCAGAACGGGCCATTCTATCTCCTCAACCACACAACCCTTATTTATAGAAGTTCCGGAGTGACCAGAACTGTAACACCTCGAATTTTTCTACTAATACTACGAATAATTATTATTTATTTTTGTATTTATGAAGATTATTTCCTTATAATTATTTTGATTAATTAAATGGGTTTGATTGAATTTTTAAAGGTTTTTAATAATAATCATTTATGAAAATTATTTTGTATAATATTATTAATTATGATATTTTGTTATAATTATTATTTGAAGAAAATCATGTTTTAAATTGTATTGATATTTTATTTT